AAAACAAAGCATAAATACAGGACAGAAATAGACTCATGGACAGAGAATACAGACTTGTGGTTACCAGGGGGGTAGAGGGTGGGAAGGGATAGACTGGGATTTCAAAATCGTAGAATAGATAAACAAGATTACACTGTATAGCACAGGGAAATAGACACAAAATGTTATGATAAATCACAGAGAAAAAAATGTGACAATGAGTGTGTATATGTCCATGAATGACTGAAAAATTGTGCTGAACACTGGAATTTGACACAACATTGTAAAATGATTATAAATCAATAAAAAATGTTAAAAAAAAGTAGGCATAATATCAAATGAACAGGATTATTACAAGGAGTAAAGAAAATACAGTGTGGAAAGCACCTCACATGTAACCCAATAAATGATAGTTTTGGCACAGTGCCTGACATGCAGTATGAGTGTGCCTTCCTGAGCCACAGCTGGAGGGATTGAGGCTAGACTCCAGGAAGAACTGTGGATCCTGGGCCGGTTGTTTGTAGGGCAGTCTGGATTCATTGGGGGTATTAACGGGGAAAAGACAGCCTGAAGAGGCAGGAGCTGTGCTCAGAGCCCCTCACCATGGTGGTCTCTGAGCTGATTGTGGAGTAGTGGTGTTAGGAAGGGAGGTACCTCAGGGAAACCACCTCCTATTTGCTGTAAAGCCCCCCAGCACCCTTCAACCCTCTTCTTCCTGCCCTGGGTCCCTGGACTTCTGGAGGCTCAGCAGCAAGGGGTTTCCAGGAAACAGGAGTTTTGGGAGGACTGGGGAGGAGAGGCAAGGCCCCAAATGGACACTGGATCTGCTCATAGGACCCGACCTGCTGCAAATGGTTCCCTCCCTGCACTGCCCTGAGGTCCTCTGTCCTTCAGGCCTCCCTTACTCAGGACTCGGGGGGGACCAGAGACTTGAAATAAAGATCGTGATGAAAACATAGCATAAAACTGTAGCACTAAGTATGGTACTGGTATATGACTACAGAGATAGATAAAAGTAAATAAAAAGCTTAGAAACAAATCTATCACATAAAAATATTTAGTATATGACAAAAGTGGCATCTCAAATTATAGGGGAAAGGATGGATTACCCAATAGAGAGGTGGGAACACTGGGAAGCCATCTAAAAAGCAAAAAGTAAGGTCGCACTATGCCCTTCCATAAGTTTAAATGTTAAAAAAGTAGAAACATAATTATCAAATGATACTGCAAAGAAATTTTTTATAATCTTGGAGTGGAAAAGCCTTTTCTGACACAAAACCCAGGAGTCATAAAAGAGATGATAGAATCTTTGAGAATAAAAAATCGTTAAGGATAAAAAAATATCCGAGGGCAAAAATATAACCAGCAGAGTCAAAAGATGAATGACAAACTAGGAAGGATTATTTGCAGTTCTTCAGCCAAAGGCCTCATTTTCTGTATCTATACAGAGCTCCTGCAAATGAATAAGCAAAAAGCAAATCTTGCAGCAAAAAAGGCAAAAGATACGAAGAGACAGTTTATAGAAAAGGAAATGCAAATGACGTAAGCAGGTGAAAAATGCCAAATCTAACTCATCATAAAGGAAATGCAAATTAAAACTACACGGAGTTATTACCCTTTTCCCTTATCGAACTGGCAAAGTCGAGAAATCTCTGGACACCTTATGGACAAGGGTGTTTTTATAGGCGCAGTCATGCATTACTGAGGGAGCATGAATTGGTGGCACCTGGCAAGGAGGCAATTTGGCAAGAACTATCCAAATTAGAAAAGTACACACTTTTAACCCAGCAATTCCCCCATGCAGGTCACTGCCACATTGTCCTGGCAACGATCTGAAAGTGACTGGGATGTTGATCAGGCCCATCAACAGGGGACTGGCTAGATACCTCGGGAACTAGGGATTAGGTTGTGGGACAGGAGTGGGATGAACACTGATGAGAATGCTCTTAACGTCCTGAAGGGGAGGGAGCTTAAAATATCTCTGGAAAGGTAACAGGGAGATTTACATTTTGAGCTTTTTTGGCACCTTTTAAATTTTGAACCCTGTCAATGTATTAAAGGTCAAAAATTGGTTAAAACAAAACAAATACGGAATCCTTAGGATTTTAGAATCAAATGATAGAATCTTAGAAATAGATGAGTAGAATTTCAGGCCCTACTTGAACACTCTGAGCCCCACTCCCTCCTGGCACAGTGGGTCCAGCTATGGACCAGCTCTGCCTGGGGACTGTCCTCGTGCTGAGATCTCTTGAGAGGGATCAGAGGGGAGAGGAAGGCAGGATTGATACCCTGGGAGCTGGCACCAGTGCAGATGAAGGGATCTGAGCCCCCTGCCCCCAGGAGAAGACCCCCTGCACTGATCTGCTGGCCGACTGGCTTGGCGCCTCCAGACGCCTCTCCGCTAGGATCAAGGAGGTGTGCCCTGGCCTGCTGAGAGCTAGGCGTGCCCCAGAGGAGATTTGCCAGCCCCTGCCTGGGTGCCAGCGGGTGCAGTTCTTTCAAGTGTCAGCTTTGCAGCTGGGAGAAGAAAGTTCCTCACAGAGGGGACTTCAGAAGCCCAGAGGAGACCTTAGGTAAGAGTGACAAGCAGGAGGAAGGTAGGAGGGGACCAGGGGTGGCTTGCTGTTCTTCATCCCTCCAGGACTCCAGTCACCTGGGTCTGGCTCCCTATCTCCAGATTTCAGAGCCCACCCCCCGCCCCGGACGCCCACAGGCACCTCCCATTCCATGCAGCCCAACCAGGCTCACCAGGTCCTTCTTCCAGTTCCTGCTCCACATCCTGCTAGCTGGAAGTGAGCCCCTCCCCTCAGAGTCACTCTGGACCCATCTCATGGGGTCATGGTTATTTCTGGGCATTTCTTGCCCCTCCTAAGTGGCGTGACCACTCTGAGCCAGGTTTGGGGAAAAGAGATGTCCCTGGCTTCCCTTCAAGGCCCAGGTGCTCCTGGGAGAGAGGGGCTCTCTGTTGGTCAGCTCTGTGCCACCCCTGTGCCCACTGGGGCCTCAGGAAGGGCAGGCATCAGCCCCACGCATTCAGCACCACGTGTGCCATGAACAATGAGTGACAGCCAAGGCTCTGGAAGGGATGGAGCCTCTTTGCTTTGGGCTCAGCCCTGCGCGGGGCACTGGGGACACGGAGATGAATAATCAATTCTGGTCTGCATAGAGCTCCCAGATCAGAGAGGGTTGGGGTCAGGGAGCCAGACGGAAATGGACAACAAGATGCCAGGACTGTGGCAGGGGCTGCAGGGGCTGGGGGAGCCTGAGAAGCCTCCTGTAGGTGGAGAACCAAGGAAGAGTCGGAAAGTGAGAGGGAGGGCCGGAGAGCAGGGGTAAAGCAGAGAAGAGGCAGACAACTGGGAGGGCCTGAGACGTCTCGTGGCAGGAGCTGAGGGTGACGATCTGGTGACAGCAGTTGGGGAGACATCAGTGGTGCCAAGTCATAAAAGGCCTTAATGCCAGGTTGGGGGGTGTGGATCATCCTGGGAGTACTAGAAGTGGTGGGAAGGGCTTTAAATTGGGAATAATATCACTGGATCAGAGTTTTGAATGAGCTCACTGAAGAGAGGGTGAGACCGTAGGCAGAGCCAGCCAGAGGGCTGGAGCTGTGCCCTGTGCTGGTTAATCACACAGCTACAGAACTAGCATCCTGGAGCCTTCCCTTCTTAAGTGGGAGGTCTAGGCAAGTTACTTTACCTCTTTGTACCTCAGTTTTCCCAACTGCAAAATGAGATAACAGTACCCATGTCATAGGGCTGGTGTGAGGGTTAAATGAGTTACTAAGTCTAGACTGTGAGAACAGTGCTGGACACACAGCGGGTCCTCAGTGTTAGCTACCAGAACAGTTACAATCATGATCCAGGGGAGGGAAGGCGTGCCCAGGCTCTTCCTCTGCCGCTGCGGCCTCCAGCCTCCCCCCACCTCCCCCAGCCTCCGTGTAAGCAGCCCCTACCTTGTGCAGCCAGTGCAGGTTCATCTGTTGCCCCACAGCGATGTGACATAGTGCCAGGACCTAAACAGCGGGCCCGCAGGGCAAGAGTCAGGCACCATGTGTGCCCCGAGTGTTTCTGCCAGTTCCCCAGACACCCTTCTCCCCACTGCTGTCTGGGCCTATCTCCAGCAGTCAGCAAACCCTCCCTGTAGGCGACGACAGTGCCCAGCCCAGCCCAAGCCTGGCCTCCTCCCAGATTATTCCAGGCCTCCAGGCTCCTATTCCTCTAGGATTCTTCCCTCAAGAGGTCATTGGGCCCTCCTGCACTTGGACTACCTAGTTAATCTTTTGGGCGTTCCAAAGCCTAGGATTCTGAAGCAGACTTGAACCTTGTCCCCAAAAAGCCCCCAGTCCAGCACGAAACTGACCTGAGTCTGGGACCAAAGCAGAAGATCCTGGAAGAGGAAATCTGCAGTGGGCCTTAACGGTGGGATGGCTCCCATGGGGTCGGGGGAAAACATGCCAGGATGGGGCAAAACAAGGTGACCTTCCACCTTGAAGGAAGCAAGCCCCAGAGGTGCAGCAGCCCAAGAAGCTCAAAGAAAAGCCAGCTGTCTTCCTTAGTCCAGGGCGGGCCCCTCCATCAGCCCGGCCCAGGCCAGGTCTCTTTCTCCCTGGGAGCAGGGCCACCTGCCCCCTGAGAGAGTCCCACATACCAGGAGGCCCGCAACGTAAGTGAAGGCGGCAGCTGTGGTTATGAGGATGGGCACAGACCAGTCACTCCAGTAGCCCATTCGGTTGTAGAGGTACCTGCCGGGAGAAGGGGCAGGGATCAGATCTCCACCAGGGAGCCAGGATGCTCCCTCAGGCCGGCCAGCTCTCAGCTCTCACATGGCCGGACTCAGTGACTAGGCCCTGCTCACTCAGGAATGATGTCATTGCTCCCCTGAGCATCAGTCAGGCCTGTGTTGGGGGTGCTCACAGGGGACCCCGGGCATGCCAAGAAGCATAAAAAAGAAAACACTTCCCGCTAATTATACTACCCAGAAGCAACCATCACCAAAATTTCACTGACTTCTTCCAGTGGTTTTGGCCCCCTATGCTGAGACTTATGTAAACAGCAAAGCTGGGACCCCGCTGTGTACAGCAGCCATCAAGAGTGCGGGCTTTGGAGGGAGGTGCACATGGGTTCAAATCCCCACTCTATCTCTGACGGGCTTGCAGGAGTCTGTGGAGAAGTGACATGCTTCCCTGATTCTAAGATGCCATCAGTTGTGACATTCTTCTCAATTTCAATGTGAAAATGTGAAAAGACGAGATCTTAGGATTGATAAAATGTAATACCCAACTTCCCTGAGCCTTGCTTTCCTCCTTTACAGGATGGGGAGAGCAGAGTGCCTTTCACAGGGTTTCCTGAGGATGAAGTGAGGTGAGGCATGTGATAAGTACTCAATTCTCCTCTTCTTATTAACCCAAGCATTTGCTGATGTCAGTCAAATCCTGAGGAAACGTGATTTTTTTTAACAATCACGCGGTCTTCTATTGAATGAATGTACCGTATGAAGCCAGCTTCCTACTAACAACAATTAATAGTTTCCAATTATTCACTATTATAAATTAACATAAAAAATTTTTTTTGCACATACCTTTCTGTACTACTAATTATTTCCATAGAATAGACTTCTACAAACAGAATTACATGGCCAAAGGGAATTAACTTTTTAAGGTTCCTGATAGATCCTGCTTAGTGGTTCTCCAGAAAGGCTGAACCACCCACATCCTCCCTGTATAACTGGGGAAACTGAGGCTCAGAGAAGGCAGCAATTTGTGCAGGGTCATCAGAGAAACTGAGGCGGTGCTAGGCAGCTTTAGGCCTGCTGTCCTCTTGGGCTTGGGCTTGGGCTGGGAGGGGACACCAGGAGGACATGATGGGGCATCTGCTGTCCCCCGTACCCTTCCCTGGCCCTCACCCTCCGATTCCACGGGAACACCTATTGCCTGGAGGATCACTGAGTGTTCTCTTCTTCCTGCACATTTAGGGAAACAGAGGCTCAAAGTGGGGCAGGATCTTCCCCTGGTAACTGCTCCTGCCAGATGTTCCAGCTCCATTGTCTCCCTTTTGACGGAGAGCCCCCTGCATAGCAACAGCCCAGGTCCCTCCCTGGCTTTCCTCATCCAGCCCTGACCATCTGGGTCTTGCTCACCTCCTCTTACGACATAAATTATCCCCAGAGACCCTCCAGACCATCAAGTCTGGGCCATGTTCTCCCGAATCCCAGCACTGGCTCCACAAAATGGAGGTGACAGGCAAGGGGGCTGCAGGTCCCCAAGCTATCCCTAAGCCTAGGCAGGCCTTCCCTCTGCAGCCTCCCCAACGGAGCAGGCACCTGTCCTCTGCTTGAGCTGCCCAGTGACAGGGGGCTCACACTCTGGGCAGAGCCGGGTAGCTCCATGGACAGCATGAGACAGTCAGGCAGGTTCAAGTCCCTGACCCAGATCTGACTGCATCTTGCTGTGCAACTTTGGAAAGGCTACTTAACCTCTCTGAGCCTCAGTCTCAGATTGTCCTCAGTGTGTACATTTGACACTGACTGGCTGTGTGGCCATGGGTGAATCTTGCCCTTCTCTGGGCCTTAGCTCCCCTATCTGTACATGAAAGGGTGGTCCCTGTGATCATCGGGGCAGCAGAACTGCAGTTCAGCAGAACTGTCCAAGGTCTGCAGTTGAGGGCCAGCAGGGAATGCTCCTATTTGCCGACAGCAGTCCTGTGCTTTGGATACCTGCAAAGATGAATAATTGATTTACGGCATTTAATAAAGGCCAGAGGCCACCTCTGGGACTCAGCTGGGGCTCTGGCTCATCTTGCCAGGCTGCAGTTGGACGGCATCCCCCTTTTTCATTTATAAGAGAATGCCAGCCCAGTGCTATGCAGAGGGGAGCGGATGCCCAGACTCTGTGAACCAAATCTTAGGATCATCACAAAATCCTAGAACCACAGCCCATCAGAAGCCCAGAGTCCAGAAATCCTAAATTCTAACATCATGGCCACCTTCCAGCCAGAGATTCAGCCTCCTAGGAAGCAGTCCTCAAGTTTAGGTGAGCTTGGAGCTCTCTCATGTCCATCATCTCATCTCATCCTCGAAAAGACCTGATGAGGCTGGAGTTGTCCCATTTTACAGTTGAGGAAACTGAGCCCGAGAGAGGAGTCACACTTAGTGTGCTCATGGTCACACTGAGCTGAACTAACCAAAAGGAAAAGACAGCACTGGATGGGGAGTGAGGAGGCCTGGCTGCCAAGCCCCATCTCTGCCCCAACCTGGCTGTGTGACCTTGGGTCTCAGTTTCCACATTTGCTGATGAGGGAGTTCCCAAAGGAACCCAGGGAACTTCCCCTCCTCCCATGCTTTTCACTGTGGGGGCCAGGGGGTGACGAACAAACAGGTGCCCTTGTGCACCCAGGTCCCAGCCTCAGCCCTGCCCTTGGACCTGAGGTTGGGCCCACAGAGGACCCTGAACCGTCCCAGAACTACAGCACCTGCCAGCCCTGCCCAAGGCCCTGCTCAGGGAGTTAGGTGGCCTCAGGTCTGGAGCTGCTTCCTCTACTGAGGCCTTGATCTCTCTAGGCCTTGGAGTCCTTGTCTACAAAGGGGTCCAGAGGCCCCTGCCCCTGGCTGAGCACAGCCCCCATCTTACATTCCTATTTTCCATGACAGCAACACCAGGAAGGAGTTCCCTGTTCTCCCCAGCTGGTCTCTGTTCCTGCTAAGCCTTCCCTCTTTCCAGAGGACTATGCCCCCAGGGCTATAGAGCCTGTGGCCAGTGGAGGCAGAGCCCTGAGGACCAGCCTGGGAGAGCAGCTCAAACCCAAATCCCCATGTTAGTCACCGGATGCCCGGGCCCAGGCCCCCGACCCCCATACCCTGGATCCCCACTCACCAGTTGAATTCATCATAGTCATTGTGGACTTCCCACCAGAAGTAGAGCCATGTGAGCGTGAGGCCGAAGGTGAAGGTGAGGAGCAGGAACCAGAGGCGCTCCCACTGGAGGGGCAGAGGGAAGGGAAGAAAGGGGTCAAGTGGGGCAGGGCTGGCCCCTCCAGCCACCTCCCCCCAGAATGTTCCTACTCTTCCTTCTTTGGAGCCCAACTGCCAGGCAGGGATTACTGCCCTCTTTACAAGGGTGAGGACCTGAAGCTCAGAGAGGGAAGGGACCTGTCCAACATCACCGAGCCTGAAGTCACAAAACAGTGGGGAGCTGGAGCAGGGTCAGACTCCATTCCAGAGCTGGGCCTTTTATGTTGCAGCTGGAGGCCCTTCCAACGTGCACCAGTCTCCAGGAGCAAAGGCCACATCTGTCTAAGCCTTTGCCTTGGGAGGGGGAGCCACACTCTGAGAGGTCACATTCCTCCCCTCCTCCCCTATGTCTGCAAAGCAGGTGTTCCTCCTCACCTCTGCCCTGGGCTACCGATAAATACACTGAGGCCCAGAGAGGTGAAGCTACTTTCCCAAATCACACACCCAGTTAGAGGAGGATTAAAAATCAGTGCCCAGCCTCTGGACTTGAAGAAGTGGGGTGTTGTGCCACCCTTGCCAGGCGCCAGGCCCCTGTCTCCTATGGGGGTGGGGGTAGGGGGATGGGAGTGCTGACCCCACCACTGCTGCTTCCCGAGGGGTCTGAAGGCATGTCCGGCTGAGCCGTTGGGTTTATCCCTGCTTTCATCCGTCCCCTTATCTCAGAAGTACAACAGGCTTGGAATATCCTGCTCTCTGGGAAATTGCTGAGATCATCAGAACAACAGCCCTCGAGGGGAAGTCAATGCAGGAGAGAACCAAGACCACCCCCCACCTAGAGGGGCTGGAGGAGCCCAGCAGCCCTCACCTGGGCGTGGCCCAGGCCCCTTGCTGAGCTCCTTGCAGCTCTCCTGGCTTCTTTGATCCTTCCAGCACAGGACAGCCAGTTGGAGCTACAGTTCTAAGCCCAGTTTAACCTCTTGATGGCTCCATCTAGAGAAAACAGCCCTTCTCTGGTCCACGGGGCAACCCCTCTCCTTCCTGAGGACCTCCCTGTCCCAGCAAGCGAATCCTATCTCCTCAGAGCTCCCATGACCACGGTACCCATGTCGGTCATGGTACAGACCCCACAGTTCTAGAACTGTCCTTCTATACCTTGGTCTCCCCTGTTCTACTCTAAGCACCTTAAGGATCTGTGTGGTCTTCATATTCCCAGGGTGGGTGGCAACTGAAGAAAGATTTGACAGTGAAATCGCAGGTGAGAAAAGACCCTTTCTCTTACTCTGGCATGAGTATGCCCACCCAGGAGGGACTTCACTGGGGGCTTACCACCAACACTCACAGAGGAGCTCTTGGTCTTTTGTGACCCCAAGCCAGCGGCAGTGAGTGGCCATCTGTCTGCAGAGATCTCTCCACCTCAGCGGGGCAAGGCCGCTGGCCAGAAGACAAGGTTCTGAGAAGGGCCCAGGTGAGGGGTGAGCCTTGGCCTGTGATGGGTCTTGTCCCAGGCCAGCAGCATGGGGATCAGTAGGTGGTGGGGCCAGGGAAATTGCTGCAGGGACAGTGGCAGGTAGAGAACCTGCCACAGGTACCTGGGGAGATGTCATATGGTGATGTGTGATGCAGGACCCAGGGGCAATTCTGACAGGTGGCCAGGAAGACTGCAGGTGTCAGGAGGTCCCACAGGAGACAGGGGTCTGTGCACTAAGGGCTACTGTCCTCACTTGGCTTGATCCTGACAGTGGGGCAGGGAGAACAAGGCAAGAATGAGGGGCTTCCCCCACCCCTGGGAAATAAAGAACTTGGAACCCCATTATTGGAACCAGGCATGAGCTGGGGTTGGGGTCCACCCAAGGATGAAAATCCTGGCAGCTGAAAGCCGGAAGTCCTGTGGCCACAGAGAGTCTGTAGATGGGGATGGAGATGGCAGGTCACTCTAAGAACAATCAGAGGGAAAAACTGAATGGCAGAGGCTGAAATAAAGGGGAGAGAAGGCCAGGAACTAGGGGAGGAAGTATCCTGGGGAGCAGCCTCACAGACAAAGAGGCTCCAAAGGGCACTAGTGGTCCTTGTCAGGGCGCATTACAGGACAGAGGCCTGAGCCTGCTCCTCCCATCAACAGGCCAGCCTGGCCCTGCTCCAGAGATGCAGGCCATGGGCAGGGATGCTGGAGCCACTGGCCCTCTGTCACCTTCCACAGTCTGCACGATGCCTGGGTGTTTATCCCCATCCGACAGCAAATGAAGACACCAGGTCTCAGAGAAGGGCCACCACACTCTGCTGAGCAAGTTGTGGACCCTAACACTAAGAAGTGCCACTCATGTTGTGGTTACCATCGATGGGCAGATTTGTCATGACAGTTTTCCAACAGTCACCGGCCAAGAGCCCTGGGGAAGGGGCACCCCTTGCTAGTTTGCACAGAGACTCAATATGGGTGAACGGAGGTGAGGCAGAGGATGAGCAACATGCACAAGATGACCAAGTAGGGGAGGAGTAGGGCGGGGCTGAATGCAGGTGTCCATCCTTTGCAGGCCCCCTTGGGAGCCAGCCCTGCACAGCTCTCCCCCAAACCCGCCCTTGCCTTCTGGGACCCAAGCATGGTGATCCCAGGCCCAGCTCAGCACCCTGGCATTCCTCTTTTCTCTCTCTGGGACTCACCCCTCAGGCCAAGCCTCCTTCTCCTTCAGGAAGCCCTCCCATCCCTCTAGTCTCTAAGCCCTCCCTTCCCTGACTGCTTCTGCACAGCCTCTTGGTAACCACCAACAACCCTCAAGCACATTGTTAAGTGTGGAGGCAGAAAGAGCCTAGGCTCAAGATGTAGACAGACCCAGGTCACTTGGGTGAGTTACTTCACCCCTCTGAGCCTCAGATTCCTCACCTGTAAAATGGGAATAATAACCCCTACCTCGGAGGTCTGATGTTAAAAGAGGTGATGCCTGTCACATGGCACACTGTAGGTGCATAATGAGGGACAGCTCACAGGGCTGTGGACTCCTTCAGGGCAGGGATGGCTGGGCCCGTATCCTCGGAGGTGGTACTGAGACATGGTGTCAGGAACAGAAAGTGTGCATGTGATGGGGGGAGATGTAGGGAGACCTCAGGCCACCAGTGGACAAGGATGTCACCCAACCCCAGACTTATCCTCAGGCTGAGCCTGGAGCCCGAGGGAAGGAGCTCCCATTGTGACACCCCAGCCCCTTTCTTTCAGAGCCTAACAGTCACTGCTAGCGGGAAGAAGGTCAGGCGGTTCTTGGGCTGACAGGTTGCAGCAGGGACAAAGGAGTGGCTGAGAGCAGCTGGGGAAGGGGATGGCCCCTGGCCGTGGAGGGAGTAGGCTGCTCCATCCCTGCTTCAGTAGTGGCTGTTACAGAGAATCCCAGAGGCCCCAGCCCCATCCCATCTCCTCCTATTCTTGCCCCCACCCTCCAGGAAGATGAGACCCTCCATCCCCTGCTGGGCAACAGTGTGCTAATTTCTCCTGCTCACTGTCTCCTGATTGTCCTTCCTTCTCCTCACCCCTCTTATCTCTGTCCCACCTAGACCAGAGCCTTCTGCATTCAAAGAACATGCATGCAGAAAGAGAGCTTCTGAGCAGCTGGGGCTTCTAGGGTCACAGAGCCCTGCAGCCGCAAACCCCAGCCCTCCGCACGCACGAGAGGCAGGCGTGGGCCCTGCTGCTGCCGTATGCTGCCCACTACGGGCGCCTGCCCGCCCCAGACCCCGTCACTGGGCCAGGGCACACAGACACTGCTCACATAGCCAGGGTCCCCAAAGGCTCTGGAGCACCCCCACCCTGGGTCCCCAAAATAGAACCTGGAGCCTGAAATCTGCATTGGGACAACACCTGAGCAGGAGCCGCCTCCCTGGCCTTGGGACCACCGCAGACTTCAGATTCACTGTTAGAGCCAGAGCTGTCTTGTTGGACTCCTGTTCCCTATCTGTCCCTCTTGGGGCAGAGACTGCCTCTGCGGCCTCCAGGGCAGCAGTTCGTCCTGCTTCTGCTCTGGCAGCTCCAGGGATGGGCACTCTCCCTCTGGATGCTGCCCGGTCCTGCACTGGACTGAAAGGTCTTCCTTCTGAGACAGCAGCCAGAGAGGGGCCGGCTGCATCTGGGAGTCCAGTAACACTGGTTGTGAATCCCAGACAGGCCTCCTACTAAATGGGTGACCTCGGAGAAGGCATTGTTTCATCCTTCCTGAACATCAGCTTACTGCTCCGTAAAATGGGGACAGCAGCGTTGTACAGCAGTGTCTGGTGACAGCAGAGTGGCAGGAGTTGTTTTCCTTGTCTCTATCCCTCCCTGAGGTGCAGCTGAAATCTGCCTCCTCAGCTGCTGACCTGCAGCTGCTTCTCTGATACCACACAAAACAAGTGCAGCAAGAGGGCAAGAATACTGGGGTCCAACGACCAGGACATGGAGGAATATAATGAAGAGGTGGATTTTAATTCCCTGCCATTCTCCCACTGGCTGTGTGGCTGTGGGCCAATCACTCAGGATTTCAAGCCTCAGCTTCCTCCTCTGTTTGTGGGGATGACATCACCTCCACCTCACGGGAGGGCTGCCAGGCGCGAATGCGATTACAGATGTAAGCTGTAAGTCGCCAAATCCATGATCATGCCTATAATTATCATTCCGTGTCTGACAGCCCTTTAATTATGTGAAGACAGTGATCAAGTCTTCCCCGCCCCCTGCTCTACACCAAATTTCTATGGCTGTTGAGGACAGCTAAGCAGATCACCCACTCCCAGTCCAGGGTCGGTACCATGGTCAAGGGATGCCGAGGTCAGGCTCAGTTCTGCAGGCTGCAGTCCTAGGAGCCAGCACGGATGAAGGAAGAAGACCCCAGCACAGCAGCTTCCCCACCCCGGCTCACAGCCCCGCTTCCCGGGCTACAGACAGAGCCCTCCATGAGCACCTCAGAGTCAGGGCTGGGGCACTCCTAAGAGCCCTCTGCTTACTCCATCTCATCTCATCCTCTCTACAGCTCTGCAAATCAGGTGGAATAGTTGGAGGAAAACAGGGCTCAGAG